GCAAAGCCAGACCAGTGGCACAAGACAGGCTATACCAGTACCGTAGATGACGCCGCTGCCGCCGGGGAATAGGCGAGAAAAGACATCCATGCCACCGTCGTCCCATACTGGCTGAACGTAGAATGGAATGGTATGTACAAGCGACAGAAACAGGCAGAGGTAGCCTGCCCACCTGTGGAAGACATTGAGGCGCTCCGGCCCGATGCCAATCAGGATGGACAAGACATTTGCCTTCATGCTGGTCACAATGATCCAAGGTGTCAATGCGACAGCAATCATTCCGGCTCGTATAGCAATGGGTGGCGAACCGAATTGAATGCTCTGCCAGTATAGTGGTTGCTGGAGAAAGCAGTAGAGCGTCACAAAAGCCAAGGCGATGAGACCGCAGGTAACTACGGCGAGGGAGGAGAATGTGAAACGGTGGCTACCCCATACAAAGTCGGGAATCGGCCGGTAAAAGACCCAACGGAAGAGGGCCAAGGTATCGTTAACGAAGCCAACTGAGGAGAAGTGAGCCCTTGGTTTGAATTGCTTCTCGCCAAGCCCTTCGGAGTCGGGGAAGAAGTGCTGTGCTTGTCCCGTATGTACGGCGTGTGCGTAGTCGGGATCCGTGTTGTAGAGGTTGGCATAGTATTCCTCCACTTCTTGCTTGTATATGGCTTGGCGAATTTTGTCTTGCCAAAAGTGCCAAGATCGCATAAACAGAACTGTTCCCATGAGGGCCAACGCGAAGTAAGTCCAGCCCATGCCATATTTCCCAGACTTGGACCAAGGGTCAACTGTTAAGGCCTCGATTAAACCTGGCGGACTGTCGGGTTTGGGCGTGATGGCAATGCGCTTGGCTAGTTGTTCTGCCGTTTTGGTGGCAGCGTCTGCCAGGTCGCGGATACGAGTAGCCATTGCAAGGCGACAGAATTCGAATTATACTGCGCGGTAGAGCGACTGCGCGCGGAATTATACAGTTATGTCGACATACGGTGCAGTCTGAAAGAGTTCAATGGCTGGGGGTCGTCGGGATAGTAAGATACCTGCCCCTCGCTGGTCGGTTGATCGTGTAGCCAGCTGAGAAGAATCGAAAGCGTAATGTGTGCAAGAACCCTTGGTAGCGGGGCCAAGATGAGTAGGTTCAATGCAATGCGATGCTATGCTTTGGCGGAGTAACGAGCGACCGGTAAGAAAACAGACGGGAGCACGGGAAAGCGCGAATTGGGGGCGCCACCAGGGGATATATGGAGGTGAGATCGGAGACGCTCCGAAGTGGAGAGGTCCCAGTGGTTTGACTCTGGGGTGTGGGCGGCGTGATGAGCACACCTCTGTTATCGACAGTCTCGTCACGTTGCCTACAGATTCGGTCGGGAAGCGGGTTCAGTCAAGAGTGGTGACATGTGTAAAGGTAGAGGACAAGTGATAAGACGGCGAATATTCCATGTGGAGGGGGTCGGATGGGCTGCGACCTCGATGGGGTCGTGCAATGAAAAGCCAGATGGGGGATGAAGGGCTTTTCTGGGTCGGATGGGCGAGTGTGAATGGCACGAGGCCCAGCGGCTGACCGTACTTTAATATTGGCTGGCCGCGATTCTGGTCGTTCCCCGCGGGCGGATGTCACACAATGCAGGCCGGTGCGTGGGCGCTAGAGGTGTGGATGCGATGCAGGAGCAAGCTGCAAGCTGCAAGCTCTTGGGCAAAGGTACGGCCATTTGCTCGGCAGACAACGACTATTGAAGATGAAGACCAGGGGTGGCAAGCGGGATGGATGCGTTGGTTCCGGGCGCCATCAACGAAAAGTGTGATCGGCGGGAGGTAAGATGTCCAGATTGCCAACGTCGCCGCAGCGCTAGTTCTTGTCGATGTCGTCTGGGTCGATGTTCAGACACCTGACCGAGGGAAGTCGTAGGCAGCTGTATAGACAGGAAATGACTTTGCAATACCGTCGGGGTAACGTCCTCGGTGACGAAGACTGTCTGTGTACCCGGAGGTTGTCAGTCTAGAAACGTAAGCGGCAGTCGCGGCCTCCACGGCGTGGAAGATGCGGTTGCTGACGGCCACAGATATGCTTTAGTAACTTCTGGAACAGCAGAACTGAGCTTTCGTTGGTTCGGTCGTGCCATGTGCCATAAGATGATGGGAAGGGCCGGAGAGCGTAGGTAACACTAAGGTACTCTTTGAACAGCTGTCATTGGAGCAACGCCGGAATGACGGCAGAGCATTTTGAGGTGCGATCCGTCAATTTGACCACCGAAGGAAACATTGAGATGGAATTGACCAACAGCTGGCAAAAGTGACCAAGAAACTGCAAGGCGAGGGCCTGCAGAAGCTGCATGGGTCGGCACACATGGTGGACAGGTGCACATTGGGGGCGGTTGATGCTCTTGGTGGCGGTCGAATAGCAGAGTGAGAAGAGGATGTGACGGGCAAAGATGTGGTCGACAACTTTGACAGAAAGGCCGATGGAGGAGGACGAGGGACGGCGGAGACGGTCGAAAAAGGCGGGAGACCCCCGGCATTGCAGCGTGATTCGCAGATTTGGGAAAGGGAAAGCTCCAGTGGGGTTACCTTCCCGTTCGGACCCCAGCCACTACGGGCGGTAATTCGGTGGTTTTGGTTGGCTGGGATATTGGATTGTTCTCCACTATGCGCGTTTGTGTGCCCCTCCTTGCGCTAGTCACACCGTGGTACGTGCCCAGACACCTTCCGTTGACGAGCAGGTACGGGGTACTCGTACCTGCCTACCTACCTACTTGCACCAACGCAGTTACCTCCCTATGTACCAACAGGTCAGGGCAACCACGCCCGTCCCGTCGCCCGCACCTTCCAGGTTCATGTCCAGTCTTTCCCATTGACTTTTGGTTGGTTGGCAGTTGGGTCTTGCCTGTTGAAGCTTTTCGGCCCAAGCTTCCGCCGCATTCCGTCCAGCACCGACCCTTGGACCCAATTGGACCACTGGACCTGCCCGGGGATGTTTGGCAACTGCACCTCACTCTATCCGTTCTTTTAACCACATGGTAAAACCAAGCTTCCTCTTGATGAACAGCTGTAACAAGATTCTTTGTTCGCTCATCAGCCGGTACCTGACTTCTGTAATGCACCACGTTCCTCCGAGGACGAAAACCTGCGACCTGCAATCGCTTGCTTGGACCACTCCAACGTCGCTGACAGATGACCCGTCGTACTTGTCCAAGAACCCCTCTTCTTTCTCTCTCTCTCTCTCCCAATGCTACAATTGCAGCATTTGAACATGGCATTCAAATCTTTACCCGAGTCAAGCACACGGTGAATACCTCTTCCTGGCCGCCTCTTTCCAACCAGATCTGGAAGTCCAGATTACCGTGCATCCCAAACAGGCGAAAGCAACAGAATTCGACCCCGCCGCCCAGAACCGCCAACCGCCAATAGCCTGGCTAAAGATGTGACGAATCTCCTTCGATCCCTGGTCCCAATAGATTGGGCTGCCAACAACATGTCCACCTTCTATGGCTGGCTGGCGAATGCCAACATGTCTCCCACCACGTCTCCCACCGTTCGAACCTACGATCATACGGACATGGTCAGACACCCTGCTGTCATGCATGGCCTTCCAAGATATTGCTCAAGATGCAGATACCATGCAAGCACATCATTTCTCATCACCAACCGCCAAGAAGCAAACACACGTCGAGATGCGATACCTATTCCTCGTCGTCTACGCCGTCCGAGTTCCAACACTCCTGTCCCAACCGCCTACTGTCCATCCGTGACCCGGCCACGGAAGACAAGCAAACGTCCCAGTCACCAGCCCGGTCTCCCGCCCGTCCCGACCCTCTACCCAGCGTGATCAGATACCGGGCTGACCCTTGCTCTTTCCTGTTGCCCAAACAGTTTGATTGACTGAGGCCGCTTCCGATTCGCCCCGCCAGTTGCTCCTCACACGACTCCATAAGTTGAATGTGAGCTGGAAGAATGCTCGACGACTGCCACTTTCTGTACAGCATTGCCACTAAAACCACATTCGTAGACCATTATGACGAAGGCAAGTATTATACATGACAGAATATCAGATTGCTCCAAGCTATCTAGTAAAGACTACTACTACGTGTATCAAATTCCTCTATATTCGCATCAAACGTATGTCCATCTCACTGCCGCTGTCAAACAAATATGACGCGTCCGACGTTACGCCTCATCCGTAGCCTCCTCAGTTCTCAAGAGTTGTACTTAACAACGCTGGCCTGACTCCTTCGAATTCCACCACCCAACCCTATCGTCATGTTCCAGGAGGCAATGTCCCCTGTGCTATCATTAGTCCTCTTGGTCATTCAAGGGATCGTCCCACTATCTCCCCAATGTATGATGGGGAGGCTGTAGGGCTCTGTTTACTTTCTGAAGTTTCCGGTGAAAAGCTTTCGGTCTAATCAGCAGAGGGAACGAGCTTCACCTGCAGCTTAGAAGTAATCAGGCTAGGTGAGTGGCCCAGCTGCATCTCTACTTTGCAACGGAGGTCGTCGAATTCCACGCTACAGGGCAGCCCTCACGTGAGGAGCATGGACAGTCCTTCCCGAGCATTCCTCGATACCTTACAGACCACGATGGCAACATCTGTTTCCAAAGATGAAGAGGTTGAGAACTTCTGCACGAAGCCTTTATTGAGCTCGTTTTTCAGCGCAGACAGACACTGCTGACTGTGTGGACATTCGAAGGCCGGGACGACCACGCTTCGAGGTTTGGGAGGTTTCCATCTTCAAACACTCTCTCACAGAGTGGACCATCCAACCCGCCAAAGCTGTTGAGCCACTCTGAGTGATCGTGTTGTCCGTCTCTTTGAAGTGAGTGGTCCGCGAGAACATACAGCCAGCGTGTCTTTGGTGGCAGCCTTTTGATGATTGACCAACGAGCGAGTGTTTCAGGTAACCTGAGCAGCTCGAGGTTCCGGCAACGTCCCGTCATCACCGCTGCAATCCAATCCTCGCGGTCGTCTAATAGATGCCAGGCGAGGTCTAATTCCCGGAGAGTCTTTCTGTGCGCCATTATGTGTCGCAAGAGCTCTTCACGTTCTGCTTCGTCCCAGTCGGCGTTAGCGAGGCAATCGACAACTTTTGTAGGCCTCGACAGGCATGCACAATATGGGAAAACGTCGACAAATCCGTCACATGGACGTCATCGCTCTCTAGTTGCCGCAAGTGCAGGTTCCTGACGCTGGACCAATCCATGGCGGACCAATCTCGATAGTTGCCTGCGAAGAAATCAAGATGGACTGTCTCGCGCCGCGGTGCTGATTCTAGCAGACGTCTCGCGTCGCTGCTGCCGGAGTACGGGTCATTTTCACCCGTAGTATTAGTCGTTCCAAGTGTGTGCTTGCCGAGCCGAATGTCCGTAAGCGCATCGTAGCGTGCTGGAAATGCGACGCCAGTGGGGAGACATATTAAGAATCCTTTGATATGGATGGATAGCTCCAAGGTCTTGATGTTGCGCACCTGTAAAAGTACCATCATCACCAAAACACGAGTCCGCTGGATGCCCGGCTGCAGCCAATCGTCCGTTACTTGCAGTCCGATTTGCTCCGCGGCGGCTTGCAGGAACGCCATCTCCGACGCCGTGAAGGCCAGCCCATCCTCATCCCAGGGCCGACTTGACGCTCCTTCGTCTCTTTGGCACCGATATAGAGAGACTGCACCGCCAACGGCTGTCACGGGCGGCTGGAACACCACTGGAGCTAAGTGAACAGCTGCCGCTAGAAGGACCCAACGTCTCAAGAGATATGGCTTCTATCAAGACAAACATTCATGTCAACTCCATTACCTCACTTGATGAGCGCCTTGAACCTGTGGTAAAGCCTTAGTCGGATGTCTCTAATCTTCATCAATTACCAAGAGCCTAATGGTAGAACCTCCAATATGGATGGTTCTCCATCTGACCATCCTCGTCATAGTCGATCACCATATCTCGAGGCGGTTTCCCAGACTGCCGATCTCGCCTCCTATTTTCCCTGATGTTCATCACCGTCACAAACGCGGCCCCAACACCAGTCCAACACGTAGCCGCAAACAACGTCCAGAACCCCTTCTTGTAGCTCGGCCCATCTGTCGAAGGGAAGAGATACCCCGTCGCAATGCCCATTGTACTCCCAAAAGACTGAAACAACCCCGTCGCGATCCCCTTCTTGATATCACCGCAGCAATTACTCGTGATGTTGCCAACGCTCAACGTAACACCTGATAAAATTCCAGACAAGATCAAAAATGTCGCGCCATACCTCGCACTCGCAGCCGTATGCGGCAACACGGCAAGCAACAAATCTCCAATAGCAGCAACAACAGAACACCCCACCAACAACCCCGAACACGACCTCACCCGATCACTCGCCCACCCGACAACAAACACCATGACAAATGCAACACAATACGGCGGCGCCGTCATCAACTGCGCCTTGATATTATCATATCCAAACGTTGCCACAATAATCGGCGTAAACGTCGCAATCGTGTACGTCTGCAGCACCTGGCCCATATAAATCGCAATGTTCAGCCACAGCCGCCAGTCCCCCGTCAGTTGCGCCGCCGTCGTGCGCCAGTGGACTTTGCCGTGCGTGCGGTTACCGTCACGCATCATCCGCCAGGTGGCGACGTCGCGCTCGCGCGGGGTGAGCCAGTGCGTGTTGTGTGGGCGGTCGGGCAGGACCCAGATGCAGGCTACGCCGAAGAGGATGGTGACGAGCCCCTCGATGACGAAGAGGGCTTGCCAGTGCTTTATGAGCGGGTTGGAGATGTTGGAGACGCCGTAGGCTACCCAGCCGCCGAAGGCGCCTGCGAGGGGGGTTGCTGAGAGGTAGACGCTTATGCGACGGCCCCATTCCTGAGATTGTTAGGTTTTGGGGACAAGAAGAAAGTATCAAGAGGTTTGCGGGAGTAACTCACAGCTCTAGGGTAGAGAACAGTCGTCAGATACGGTGCCCCGGAGATGAAGGCCGCTTCAAAGATGCCAAGGAAGAACCGGATCGCGAACATCCCGCTGGGACCGCCGGCAACAGCTTGCAGCGTCGCAAAGATGCCCCAGATGATCTACGAGCTTAGTGAGCTTTCGTCCATGTACTGATACCCCTCTTGCGCATCAAACTGACCATAGCCGTAGCAAGGTACACCGAAGGCCGGATATACCTCATCCCAATATTCGTAAACAGGTCAGAAATCGCCGTGCCGACAAAGAACATGCTCACGGCGAGAGAGAAGTCTCTGCTCGTGAACCCAAGATCTTCCTTGATCCCCATCAGCGCCGCGTTCCCCAGCGCCCCACGGTCCAGCCAGGTGAACATGTAGAGAATGAGCAGGAAGGGGGGCAGTCGCATATCAATCTTTCTCCGTACGCGTCTCTCCTCCTCTGGCGTCACAGGCGGATCAAGGTTGTTCATCCGCGCTACGATGTCTTCGTCTGCGTGGACCTCGAGGGGTGCCTCTGAGTGCGATCCGCCGGTTTCTTCATTGTTGAGTGAGCCATTTTTGTGTAGGCCTTTGATGTCCGTGGATTTCGTTACTTGTGCCATCATGTTGCGCGGGCGACCGTCGAAATCTTGAATACAGTTCCTACGAGGCAACCTGAAGGCCTCCTGGTGAGTAAAAGTGGTCGTAGACAGTTCTCGATTCTCTCTTCACAATAAGTCAGAGATACCTGCACAGAAACTGAGTTTTATACGTCTGTATTAGCGATGCGCGATGATTGTCGACGGTGTTGGCAATTACAAGCTTCAGTTCCATCCCAAATAAAGTTCCTGTCGTCAACCTTTTTCCGTCGAGCCGCATGCCGCGTTGAGAGTTTCTCGACCCCTCCTCGGCCTGTTCCGCGCGTACAAACACCCGAGCTCCCCAACCGTTCCCCCGCACGCGAGACCGAGAAGCGGTATACCAAAGTCGGCCAGTTGCATGAGGTGAAGCTTGATTCGCACCGATAACGCATGTGAGTGAGTTGTTCCACGAGTATCGGTCGGCTACGGTGCCGATCCCTTCTCGGTTTCAATCCCCTGCGCAAAGAGTATGAGGAGAATGGGACTGGTCGGATCTAAGGAGATCCTTTCAATTTGGCCGCCAGGTTGAGCATCCATGGGAATGAATAGCTCGTCGAGCGACACAGAAGAGAACAAGCGGCCTCGAAGCATTTTGTACGACTTACAGGCTCTAAGATCTCGGCTACGAGGTTTGACATTTGTATCTTTGCCGATTACGGGAGGAAATCCGCACCGAAGTCGGATGATACCAAGTTCAGTTTTCCGTGAAATGTTTTTCTCAGAAGGCAGCACAAAGCAGTAATTCAAACCTTTTGAGGAAGAAACAGCAAGCCAAACGCAAAGTATAATTGATTTGAAGGAATGACAAAATGCTGCAGCCTGCTTCAAACTCGTGTGCCAAGAGACAGGGTTCATCGTGCGCGCCCTGCCGCAAATGACTGGGGTCTCAAAACCAACAAATCAACGATTCGATATCGTAGTCGGTGGTTCTCAAGATCTGCTCGTTCATGCCGAAGTTATCATGCATCACGAATCACCTTCAAAGTATCGCAGCTATGTCCCTTTGTCGAGAGATGTGCTCCGGCTTGCCCGAGGAACGAGACGGAGTTGGCGATGCCGGACCACTTTGACGGGAATTATAACCCCCGATCCTCAGCGAAAGGCCAAGGCCGATTGAAATTGTAGTTTGGCTCTTCTCTCGAACTCTAGGCTCTCTAAGAGTATAAAGGGAAACGAAAGTCGTTACATTACGATGGCTGCAGCTTGGATCGAGAACCCAGGTCCTCGTGCACTTTTACACATAATCATTCAGCCAACGTACACGATGAGGTTCACGTCAACGACGTGCGGCCTTGGTGCCCTTCTCACCCTTCTCGTTCCAGCTCTAGCAGACGAATCTGCGCGCATCATCACTTTCCTCACCCGAAAGGCTGAAATGACGGAGCAAGAGTTCCACGATCACTGGACGAACACGCATGGTCCCCTCGTCGTGCCATGGGCTCTCCAGTACGGCGTCAATCGGTACACTCAGGTAAGTGACGTGATATCATTACCCAATCCTTAATCAAGAGCCTTTGGAGCTCACCGAGATGGATTCCACAGTACCACACCACCGAGGCAAATCGCACGACCCTTCAGAAAGCTCTAAGGCTGCCGGACGAATACCTCTTACAATACGACGGAGCGGCCGACTTCACCGTATCGAGCATCGAGCAGTTCTTGTCCGCTTATGCGGACCCTTACTACAAGCAGGTCATTGAGCCCGACGAGAAGTCATTGTTTGCTCATAGTGGAGATGTGATGGTAGTTCGGGGCTCGCTGGGATGGACTACAGACATTATTGAAAATGGCGGAGCTGTGGTGGATGTCGCGGGTGGTTGTAGCAAGTGGCGAGAAATTCATGGAAGTGCGAGAAGGGGGTGTTGATGATTCCGATGCGCCGGTCAAATCTACCTTGTAGGCTGATTTTCTTAATGACACCGAGTCGTGAATGTTTTCTCTCTCAGCCAAAAAGCCTGGTTATCGAGGCTAGCTCGTTGGGACGTCACCGAGCAATTAGGATGTCTCCTAGACTTCGTTCGCAAAGAGTATCCTGATGAGTGGACGGGTACTTCACATAGAGCTAAGAGCCGGCCCGGTGTTGGTACTTCTACACAGTCAATAGTTTGGTCTTCAAGTGGTTCGTTGGGTGATTCATTGCCTCGCATTGGTCGCTTGAAAATCGTACCTACATGCCATACCCTAGCTCAGCACCGGGCCGGCTACATGCGCTTGCGGCCCGTAGTATTGAACCCCAGATTTACGCCAAATACGCGGGGCAAAGGTTCGAGAGTCACCTAACGATCAAGAAACAACATTTCGTGGATAAAATCTTAGTTGAATTTTATTGTTTAGATCTCTGCTTCAACTCACCGCGCTCCTTTACCAGGGCTGAAATCTGGTTGCCCAAGTCCGAGTTCAACGCCTTGAATCCCTCGACAACACCTTGGCGATCACCCTCGCCCAACTCCTGGCTCATCTTGAATTTGCCCTGCAGCCTGTCGATGGTGATCTCAATGCCAATGATAGCCATTTTAGACAGATCAATGTACCGTTGCGGGGCATCCGAGATTTGCCACGGCCCAGGACGGCCGTCTTGACCAGTGTATCCCATGATTGACTGCTCTCCCAATTGTGAGAGATCGTGGAGCTGCTTATTCAGGAAACTCGACGTCTCCTCGGCCTTGGACTCATAAAAGATCTTGGCGCGACCGTACGCCTGCACCGCAGCGTAGTTCCAGGTCGGTACGACTTTGGCCGTCGTTGGCTTGGTTTCGACGTAGAATTTCGGCGTGACATAGGAGTGGGCGGGCGTGGTGAAGAGGACCAGCACCTCCTGATCGAGAACGTTTCCGGTCCCAGTCCGGTTTTCTGCCGCTAGTGACTCGACCATCGCCTTGCACTGAGGATTTGCGCGCGCCACATGACCTCTCAGGACGCCGAGCTCGGTTTCGCTAGAGTCATCTTCGACATCTAATACCCAGGGGATGTGGCTAGACTGGATGAAAGGGTGATCGGCCGACGGTATAGCTGTTGTAAGGACACCGAGGGGATAGTCCTTGATGAGTTGACGAAGTACTCGAATACTATTCTCCACGTGATCTTTCCGAAGCTGCATGGTGTCGAAGACAAGAAGATGGATACAGTAAATTGGCTAAATGGCGTTGTTGTTTGTTGATATCAATGGGTTGAAATTGATAGTGCTTGAGTTGATCTGATGACAGCGATTTATGTCGGTTCACCGGCTTTATAGGGCCGGGCGCTTCCGTGTATTTCCTCTAGTTCCTGCCGAAACGTAATAGGACATGTGTTTGAAAGGGCGTGCATGCGGTCCACTAATTATGGTTTCTAACGTCAATCGCGGAAGTTTTCGCCTCCGCAAGTACTCGCAATGGCAATATCACAACCACATCTGGAAAGTCTGTTCATTAACGCCAGAGGCCGGAAGGGCTCGATCTTCGACGATCGCATTGACTTATATTCTGATGACTTCAGCCACCTATCTCCGTACTCGTGCGTAACAAAGACCGTTCCGCAGTCTCAAGCTTGGCCGTCACTGTCGAGAGTCAGTCAGCCCCGGTGACTCAACCCCCAACATGGCATCTCCGCGGGAGATAGGTTAGATAGCTTCGGTGCGGGTGACTCTTATCTGAATCCGCATGAAAGGTGCACAAGCAAGCAAGGTCTGCATGAGCAACTGCGTTTACACGTATACGTACACTCTGACGCATTTCGAGGGATGTTGTTTGTCAGAACTAGCCAATTACAAGAGACTGATTACATCCAGGTGCAGGACTCCCGGCCCCGCGATGTGGATACGAGGGGCGGGGCTTGGCACCGGCTCCAAAGCCGCTTGTCTGCCGGAATAGAAGCGAGGGAACTGGTGGATACCGGGATCCGGCAACCGGTGGTCGGAGCATTCATGGTTTACTTACTTACCTTACATGGAAAGTTTCACCGCATCTCAACACAACCCTACAGAGGCCTTTGAGCTGTGAGGAATGGAAAGATGCGGCACTTTTTTTCACTGACAAACAAGAATTTCCAGCTTTGTACATCTGACAACATTATCTCTCCGGAAAAAGGCATTACCTTAGCCGATGATTTCATTTTTTAAAAGCTGGCTATCGATGAGCGCGCTCTAGCGTTATCTCAATACTACCAAGATTTCGAGCAGCTCGAATCTCCCACCAGAGCCATCTGAGCCATCCAACATCAACCCACGCGTGAAATCTTGAAGCCTCCTGGGATTCGCGTCTGGAACTTCCCTTCAGGATCATACTTGGCTGCAACCTCGCGGATGAAGTCCACATTAGCAGAGCCATACGTCTTGATCGGATCTTGGCTTGGGTCAGCGTAGTTCAGGTAACGCCAATTGACGTTTCCATCGACAGAAATAGCATAGTCTGCGATTTGGGCAGACGCTGAGGCCATACGTGCTCGAGCAACAGCTTCCTGAGCTTCGGTATTGATGGTAACGAGACCAAGCCAGAGAATTGCATTCTCCTTCTCCCCATCAAGACCGAGGACATTACCACCATTCTCGGTACCAATGGCTGCGAAGTAGGCAGGCAGTGGTTGGAAGACCATCTGGGTGGTGAACTGATCTGCCCCGACAGCAACCTTCATAGCGTCGACGAAGTCCTGGTGAGCCTCGACAGCCTTCTTCAGGATTGCTTCTTCGTTCTTGAACGTTAATGTAAACCACACAGATCTATACCGTAAGGTCAATCCAGGTATTACTTTCAAAGTGTAAGGGGCAACGAGACGCTACGAACCTAGAGCCGGCAGGAGTCTGGGAGTTCAATGCCAAATCAGCCATGCTCCGATGAGTCATTGTGCTGCTGATGGCGGGAATCTGGTTGATCTTCGCGAACGATGTGGTGTTCGAATTACCCTGGGTGTTGATGCGAGAAGCAGCAATGAGTATATCGTCGCCCAAAGCAGTGTTGTGGGTGTAGACAACAACCAGTGCGTCGTCAGCCAAACTCTGATCGTGGTTGGTGAAGTCGACGACAGCACTGACGACGGCATCGGAGTTATCCTTGGTCATCATGTGGATACCCGTGTAGAGATCTTTTGCCGGTAGTGCCTCGAGATCGAATCTTGTTACGATTCCAAAGTTGCTACTGCCACCCTTGAGAGCTTTGAAGAGGTCAGGGTTGGTTTCCTTGTTGGCATCGAGGACGCTGCCATCGGCAAGCACGACCTCGTAGTTTCGCACAGAGTCTGCTCCGAAACCCATGCGGCCGGTGTAATAAGAGTTGCCGCCTCCCAGAAGAAAGCCACCGACACCCACGCCTCCATCGCGGCCACCGGTCACAGTAACATTGCTCTTGAGAAGCTTGGCATACACATCCTTCCAGTGGTCTCCGGGGCCAACAGAGGCAAGATTAGTCTCCGGGTCGTAAGAGGTCTGGTTAAGGTAGACCAAGTCGATTGTCACACCGTTAGCAATGTTGTTAGTGCCTGCCCAGTGGTTGTGGCCTCCTCCACAGACCGCAATGTGCCAGTCTCCGGCACCTGATCCAGCCTCCAACAGTGTAGTCAGAGTCTTGGATACTTCGGTGGTATCCCGTGGCTGGACAAGACACCACGGCCGTAGACGAGCACTGACAGACCAGTATGTCGAGATCCGCGCCTCGTAGCCTGCTTCGGTTGCGAGAAGCAGACGATCTGCCAAGCCTGCGGCGATGAGAGCATCACACTGTCATGGCGATATATTAGCGGCCGCAAATGATAGCATTCCGTTTCTGCAAGGGAATAGCATACAGGTGGAATACCGGTGCGTGGTGTCTCCGCGGACCAAATCGTTACTGAATCGGGAATCCTGTCGTTTGCCGCAAAGCAGATGCCGGGAAGGAACAACGTCGAAGCGGCCAAGAGCCCCGCGCACATGCCGGCGTAAGTCATGGGCATGGTGAGATTAGTAGTTGCTAGTTGCTCCACGATGCTTGTGATACTGCAAGATCTTAGTGATCTTGGGCGGACATGGATATGTTGTGAAGCCCAAGGTGTAAGAACTCGAGGCGTTGAAGGTCAACTATCGCTGGCGATTGCTCGTTTTTAAAATATCTACAAACAGTGTTATGCTGTAATTATGTGCTGCCAAGGACGGCGAGCATTTTCAGTGTTGGGTTAATGGTCCGATATCACTATGCGGAGTGATGGAGTTGCAGGACAAGGTATGATCGGGTTACGGCGGTCAGCATTAAGCGATGGCCGTCTGACATTGACACGAGAGCAATACCCGATCACATATACTGTCGCTGGACCAAGCAAACAGCGCGCAGATGTTGGATTTTGTGAGAATGGACGACCGAGCCGTTCATCTTTGGGATTCGTTCTTGGCACTTCGTCTCTCTTACGCGCTCGGAAGGCCCGATTCTGAAGAACACATAACAAACGAGCAAAGGTGGTCCTTAGAATGAGTCCAGTGCAGCGAATTGAAGAAAATTCTCTGTGAATCCTTCAGCAGGCGAAGCCTGCAAATGCATATAGCGGCCAGGTACGGAATCCACTACCCGACAGTTCTTGACTCGCTGTTGGTCTGCTGGTTTCTCAGACATTGGATGTTGGTTATCATTTTACGTGATATTGCTCATTTGCATCTAGGCCAAAGTCTACTCCCATACCAGCCATGTCAGGTCACAGAAACTTGAGGCCTTGGGTCTGGCGTCACCTGAAAGATCTGTGAAATATTAGAAAGCGTGTTGTTGCGTCTTTAGAGTAGGTACAATAAGCTTGAAGCCGGTGGGATTGCATCTCATCGGCCCCTGCAACAATGTTGCAATAAGGCCCTTGCTGACCTAAAACGGGCTAAACGTCCGGGGAAGACAGTTCATGTGTCTTGAATCCCAGGTGAAAGTTTGGGGCACAGCGCCCGAAGATGGAGACCTTGCCCCAAGTCACACCAAGGTAGTACGTGGCGCTCTGCGTACAGGGCATATCACTAGCACTGGAGAAATCCAAACATCCAGGCAAGTGGTGATGTGCTTGCAAGAGCGAGACCCAATAGATTTCGTTCTTGATCTTCCAAATCTTTGAGCTTTTTAAAGCCTCGGCTGTCAAATTGTAAGAATAGTTGTTCATTATTCAACAACCTAGTCAAATGCCGAGTTACTGCGAAGTTTTGGACCAAAGGGGATTTTTGGCTGCTTCTACATGCATCTGCCAAACTGAACAATATATCTAGCCGGTTATACTACTAGATGATTATGGTATAAGTTTCGATACTGTAAAAAAGAAAGAAGGTGATATTCGTAGTAAAAGCCAAGGGAATTTGTGTATCACTTGATCAAGTTGAAGACATCAATTTTCTACTCATATTAGTTGTTTCCCCAAAGCGGTCACTACATTTTGGATCGTGCCTAATGTTTCAATCATTTATGTTTCTATTCTTATGGTTTAGTGTTCTCTCGTGTCTTCAAGCGCATTTAGGATTCAATTGGTGCAAGACATAAGTTGTAAACGATAGGTCGTGTGTAGCGAAGAAGAGTACGCCATCATGAATTTTGAGTCTTCTTAGACTTAATGATTTTCAAGTCCTCGATCCTTCTCCTGTAAATTTTGACCGGAGTTCAATATTGTATGTCTCCAGCATGGATGTATCACAGCCACTCAATTCAAAGGAGTATCCAACTTCCGAACGAAGGGCTGTCCACATGCTACGGGATTGAGGGACAAGGCCCAGGCCATGGCGACGAGACAAGAATCAGTCGGTAAGAGAAGTGTCATATATCATCGCTCCCTGTGAAGAAGCGTTATCTTTATAACCACGGTACACTATTGCTAGGTGCGGTGGTTGTGCCAACGGTAGGGCAAGCTTATCGAAACTTGTTGTGAACCAACGGTCATGACACGACGTACCCTAATAATCGCCGTACCACCGATGCCGCCGATGACTGAGAAGTCGGCAATAAACATGAAGCGCACGTACGCGGGCAGTGACGCGACAATTTATTCCAACTGCTGGTCATATTTTAGGATTGAAGTGCTAGTTACACTACTAAGCAGGTACTCATGATGTGGTGGATGACCGCCGAAATTTGAAAGTGGCGAGGATGACTCAAAATATTAGACCCATTTGGACAACTTGTCATAGACCCTAGCTCCGCGCCCAACGTCTGTCTAGGCACCCAATAACGTCTGAGTATAACCTCACCCGACTCCAACCGCAGAACAAACAATATTTCATGCCGTCTCTGAAATATTATCGACACTCTTGCTTGGTCTTTACATCTTCTTCTCCTTTCTTTCCAATTCAACAGGTACCCAGTTGCACAGCCTGACCTCCCGCAATGAGTTTCTTGGACATCTTGCCTGCCGAAATTTTGTTACACATCCAGAGGCTTCTCCCAGTTGAATCCCAGGCGATACTTCCGCTCCTCAATCATATGATACGAAACAAAGTCGGACATCGGCCCATGACTCTGGACAAGGAGGCTCAACATCGACTTTTACGACTACTCGAATGCGACGGCGTGTATGCGAAACCTCTTTTTGTCGCATGCAAAGACTGTGAAACCTTTCACTCGCCCTCATCATCCGTCCCGCCGAAGCCAGGACACCATTGTGATGTCGTTGAGTCTCACTCGTCCAACCCACGACCGTGCGCTGTTCCCAGAGTTTCACTTCCCGAGGATCACCTCTACATCGGTGCCAAGATGTGGTCAAACTTTTTGCCGTGGAAACTGCGATTTAACATGGTTGCAGGGCTTCTGAGATCCCAGCGCCTGCGGCCGTCAGGGTCCGTTGCGAAAACATTGCCTGTATCCAAGGAGTTCTATAGAATTCCGAACTTCTGGATACAACGGCGGACCGAATGCCGAATCATCAATGGTTCTCTGTACCTCAAGACTCGGGACATCGTTCAGTTGCAAAGAGGTACGCGCCATACCAAACCTAGGGGAAAGTTCCTGGGAAAGGACGACAGGTTCTGGTACCTCAGCGGGTGTTGCCCTCATAATCACCGAACTTGGACAGCCGGCGACCTGAAAGAGGTTTTGAATACCGGCAGCTGTCATGATGTTTCACTTGGGTCCACCACAAATACGACAGAGCAAGGCAGTATTTGGGAATATGGGCAGAAGCCTCCAAGAGTTGTTGCCGAAAACAACGGGAAGATATTCAGCTGTGAGCGTTGCTGGATGGACTACTCCTTCGAATTCTGGACCAATCCATCATCCAAAGCTCGCATGGTAATATTGACGAGCTGGAGGAATCTTGGGAAAGGGACGACGGATAACGATCCGAGATGGCGATCACATTTGCAGCGCTCCTGGGGCCGTCCTACTAGAAGTAGACTCTGCCCCAGGCCGGCAAAAGGTATCTATGAGGCGTATGAGAAATCGTAGGAAATGTGGATAACATCCACAATGCTGGAAAATATTGGAACAGAGTGCACCAAGCAGCGTTCGGGGCAGGCTCTGCCAGATTGATGAAGTATGAACACTACTGTTGAATGAATCAAAGCGCAAGTTCTGCCACAATCGTTGTGATAAGAATTGTCTTCTCCCACGTTTTCTTCAACACGTTACACCGCAAATAGCCCTGAACTATCTCAGCAATATCACACACCTGTGTGTTTTACAAGATTTTGTACCTTAGCATAAATGTATTGCGGCTGCTTTCCTGTATACAGTATGCATGTGATCCAAGCCCCCGCAAGCGTCAGCGTAATTCTTACCTCCGTAGCATCACCGCCCCCTCCGCATCCGTTCACCTCGGTACCAACGAGATGGATCTCCGGCCGGTTCAACTCCCAGCGCCGATGGCCGCACAATATCAGACTGCTTAGCTACCAACGGCGCGGTGCCTTTTTCCGAGGTCGCTGGCTAGGCCAAGGAATTTCCCACCAATAGGCCTGTGCCGAGCCCTGCACTACAACATTTCCCAGGGTCTCCCCCGCACATCCCCCAAGATCCCAAGACTCACCCCCCAACGCTTCCCCACGCGATCTTCCGCCATCTTGAATGCCAGACCGCTTCGCGGTTAATACTTTATGAAGTGCGTTCGAAGGCCGGGGGTTTTTGTTCGACTCTTTTCCGATGCGCGCGCGGGGTTCCTCATCCCCTAGGTAATCTTTATTTCCGAGTTCGACTACGATTAAAGTTGCCGTGCCTGGTCATTTTAGGCCTGCAGTGTCCAATGAGTCTATGTGACTTTTCCGTGTCCAGGGGGAGTGCTCCGTCACTCCGTCTGATGTGATACTCGCCCGAACTTTGAAGAGAAGACCAGAGAAGTGGGAATACCTTCGTTGTCCCCACTTGGACTACGTCCTTCCGGGAGCAAGTTTGCTGATCGCTTATAAGCCTTAAAGATGGTGCAGCCTGCCCTCCAGTTCCTGTCTTCGGAGCATCTCACATGAAGGTGAGATCGGGCTAGTATCGTTGCATCGCATCCATCCTCTGGCCTTTCCCCTTCCTCTTCAACATGCGTTTCTCGCGATCACTGGCCCTGCTCGGAGCCGTAGCCGGCGTGGTCTCTTCCTACGGGATCGAACTGCCGGCGGGTGTACCCAGATCTCTGGAAGAGTTCCGTGACAAGCATCCTTACACGCCCCCATCCCAAGGGTGTGGACGCAAGACCTTCACGATCCGTGCTTCCCGGAACGCCACGGACGATGTGTCTGAGGAGCTCAAGAAGGGTCTTCTAGAGGCCAACAATGGTGGGACCTTGTATCTACCCAAAAACCAGACGTTTGTGATCGCAAAAGCCCTCGACTTGACTTTTCTCAATGACATTCATGTTCGGCTGGAGGGCGAGATCAAGGTGAGATCTAGCATCGCAAAGGTTGTCGAAGATGATCTGACACAGTGGTCTAGTTCACCGATGATGTGAAATACTGGCAAGTATGTTATACGAAAAGAGCCACCCGCAGAAACAGAAGAGACGCGGCGTTGCTGACACTTAACTTCAGACAAATGCGTTCACGCATCCCTTCCAAGTAAGTCCCAGGTCCGATCTCATACAGCCATGAACCCCTGCTGATGCGACATGACAGAAATCGATCATGTTCTGTAAGAAAGCCCGGTAATGTGCATACTTAGAGGCTCTGCTCATAGTCTTATGTAGGGAAATGGGGTGGCAAGGACATCAAGATCTACGGTGATGGAGTCATCAACGGACAAGGGTTCGTAGACCAACAGCCGAAGCTTTCGCTCATGTCTAACACTCTGCATAGCCAACGCTGGTGGAACGAGTTTAACTCCGGCATCGGATCGTAAGTATTGACTCTTCAGACTGTCTTGAGGATATCATGCTGATCACCTTCAGGATTCTGGTATGACACACCATGGTCCGCTTCCATGAACGACAAGCAACTAACAGCCCAGAACCCCGACAACAAATACCTCCGGCCCATCCTTTTCTATGTGGAAAACACCACGAATCTGGAAGTTGAGGGAATCCACATGAAGGACTCTCCCTGCTGGACCAACTTCGTCGTCGGATGTAAGTCAGACTCACGGCAGCCGCTGTCTGCTTTCCCCAGACCGTGAAATTCGGGCTAATCACCTATGTGCCAGCGAGCAACATTGAGTACAGAGATGTCATTGCCACTGCTATCACCAACAACGGCAGCATCATCCCCAAGAACACTGACTTCTTCGACTCTTTGGATGTTCAGGACGTAAAGATTGAGCGTGTCTGGGTTAACATTGACGACGACTGCTTTTCCCCGAAGTCCAACAACACCAATCTTTACGTGAACACCATGTACTGCAACGGTATGCGGTATAACCCCTGGTTGTATATCAACAGCAGGCTAACATCATTATAGGTACCCACGGCCAGGTATATACTTGCACGGCCTTCCTCATGCTGTAATCTTGCTAACTTGACTCAGTCAATCGGTTCCTTGGGACAATACGCAGGGGAAATGTCATACGTCAAGGACGTTCACATTGAGAACGTTTGGATGTTGAACGGAGATGTGAGTCTGATCCAACGATTCTGGTTTTAACTTCTTCTAACGAGGCATTAGTACTCTGGTGCCCGCATCAAGACCTGGGCTGGCCCTAACGTGGGATACGGTTTCGTCGATAACATCACCTACAAGTGAGTATTTCTCCGTCTCGACATTCTTGGCCACGCATCTCTGACAATGATTGAAGGAACTTCTGGGTTGCTCGGATGGACTACGGAGTCATTCTTGACTCATGCTACTTCAACGTGGGTTTGCAACGATCGTGGTATGAGAAAGACCTTTGGTCCAGCTGACTGACTTCCGGCAGATCAACGAAACTACCTGCGAGCAATACCCGTCCGGCATGAATGTCTCCAACGTTCTCTTCGAGAATTTCACCGGCTACACCAGCGGCATCTACGGCAACGCAGTCGCAAAGCTGACGTGCTCCACGAACCCCGACGCTGTATGCCACAACATCAAGTTCAAGAACTTCAACGTCACGTCGCCTTGTGGTGGGGAACCTGTTATCATCTGCGATGGCGTAGATGGAGGTATCGACACTCCCTGTGTGAGCATCGACAGTGACGAGGCAAAAGCCGCTCTGGCGGCAAGGTGCCAGACTCCTCTAGCTCCGATTAACGAGAAGCCGTGGTAGATGATACATTGGGTGAGGGTGGCTTAAACCGGTAGGACGATTCTGGGACCCTTATCTGCGAGATAGCCTCATAGGCAGAGATGCGGTGCTCAAACGAAGAATTAAGCATCAAGATGTACATCAAATAATTACATGAATGAAATGTCCATAAACCGAACTCCTTGCTGAATGCATGCCCGTGCAAGTTGAAGACCTTACTGGCCATTGCTGCGAATTCGCAACTACTCAACACTCAAGAACTACAACAGTGTTAACAGGGAACGTGATGCTCATGTTCTGGACAGGCAGGATGTCGGTTCCGGCAGTGGCATTCCAGGTGAGCCCATCTTCCTGGCGCTTGTAAATGTGCTCGACGCCAAGGTACATGCGCTCACGGTCCGCGCCGGCCGTCCAAATCGTAAAGACTTGCGAATCCCCGCCGAGGGGGCTGTTGTCCGGGTTCAGGCAGGGGACCCAGCCCTGCTGGATGTAGATGGGGCTGCAGACAACGTTGAAGCCGGGCGCGCCGGCGCTGTAGCCCGCTGGAGCGCTAACGTTGAAGCGGGCACTGCAGCCACCTGGTGAGCAGCCCCAAATGTAGTTTTGTGCGGCCCAGGTGATGTTTCCTGGGGTCGTGGGATAAGTGGCGCTGCCGTCGGCCTGTCGACGCTCGGCGGTCGCGGCGTTATTTGAGATGCCGGTCCATCGGAGGGGAAGGGTTGCGGCAGAGGCACCGGCGATGAGAGCAGAGAAGGCGGTGATGAAATTGCTGACATACATCTTGGGGTGCTTGAAAGTTTGATGAGATACGGGTCAGAAGATGATACTTTGTTTCTTTCTTTGTGATGAGAGATCTGGCTCGAAGTCGTTATGGGAAGGTTTGTCTTTTTGATGGGACACCCAAACTTGTGGAATGTGTGACAGGATTTGGAGATGCTTGCGGGGAGATGATGGTATTTCTAGCTACGTTATGGTGAATCGTTTGCGCGGTGAGGGACTGATTCAGACCCTGCAAAGAGGTGGGGACTCGTGTCTCAATAAATACAAGAAAGCTTCTCCCTAGGAACGTTGGAAAGCTATCAAACATCGTGACATTGGCACGCCACGAGAGGCGCGGGCATGGAAGATCACCACTCAGCGGTGCAGATCCCGTAAGAAGCATTCAAGCGGTCAGTGTGTGCCTGTGTGACCCCCCAACTTCCCCGTGCGCAAAACCTCGTATCGGCAGTAGAAGGAATGGAGGTCTCACATGTGATGTCACTCTTAGCGTTGCTCTTCCCCGTGTCCGTCGACGCTAGTTGCCCGACGACAGCTGAGGAATGGGACCGATGGCTGTTCAGGGCCCGGTTCCGACTGGTTGATCCGTGTTCGGGGTGGCCCAATTGATGATGGTATTTTGAATCCCACAAAATCCCGTTTAACGAAAGACACGCATGGCGCGCGGACTGGACATGGAACCTACGTGGACAAAGCTGGAACACGAAAGTCGCAGTAGACCAAGAAGTAACAGGAAGCAACGTCACATCTCAAAGCTATTTAGAATAGAGCTTAATCAGAGAGACAAATACCAGGAACAACGATTGCTATGGCATTTTGTCATCGGCAAAGCGGCAACGGTCCAGGCAGACGTGGGGAGGACGGCTAACAGTTGTGTCTATTTTGGACGCAAGTTTCAAGGCTGATAAACCATGGCGGCGGCATCAACCGGTGCCAATCGATCTTCGTTACCACATGTATCCCTATGCGCTTGTCTTCATTGTGCTACGAACAGGCCTTATGCGCTTTCGCTGACGTGCATAAGCAATCCCGATCCAACGTAGATGTGGGGGTTGTCGATCAACGTAGATGCGATAGGCGCTGGAGTTGAGCAAATAGGCAATACTCAAGATTCTATCATCACTGATGCGATTATTCCGAGGAGGGAAAAGCCAGCAGTGAACTTATATCTAGACTTGAATCCCATCGATGTACACTTGGTTCACTTGGTCTTGGCAATGGGCATGTCAAAAACTTGCAATAAATACCTTGAGTAGATGCTTGTCCTACAGGCAAGGTATGCGTATATGCTTATGCTGACGATCTCTTGACAAATGCCTGCAGCGCTTCTACCGCTTCGGTTCTGCTTCGCTTTTCGACCAAACTCTGTATGACATTGTCCTGCTCTGATTCTGGCGCCATACCCTCATTCCTTGGCGGGTTGTTGTCCAAGTTCGTAGGGAACGGATATCCCTCTGCCACGGCCGCGATGAAAGACTTGACCCTGGCACTCAGCCCTTCGTTTTCGTATAGCTTGAGCAAGTGATCCCAGCTCTTTTCCACTAGTGGTATGGCATCCACGGACTCCATCGGCTTTCCAAAGGGGCTGCTGATCTGCAACAAATTCGCCATTCTGTACACATCGCTCGACTCGTTCTTGCCAGCCGCGTGGAAGAGCGCCGGGTTGAAGAAGAGCCCATCTCCCACCTCGAGCGGCAAAGCGACGTAATTGTTCAAAAAGTAGTCGTTAAACTCGGGGCGACGATACGAGACGTAGCCGGCTTCAAACGTCTGGCTGAACGGCAGCAGCCGCGTGGGACCGCTTTCCAGAGGCACCTCGGAGTGGGCGACGGCGCCCTGCAGCGTCAAGAGCTGGCTGGCGATCTGCATCGCCCGTGGGATCTGCGCGGCTGCTTCTGCCGTCTGGAAGCCAACATGGTAGTCGCGGTGGCAGACCTGCGGCGAGGCACCGGGCTTGGTGTTGTTGACCTGCGCTGTGATTCTGTAGCCATGTCCGAGCCACGCGCTCGAGATGAGGCCGAGGTATGGATTCGAATAGTAGTCTACAAAGGACGCCGGGTCCTTGAGGCCGTGTTTGCTGAACGAGTTCCAGATGCGGTCGTTTTTGCCAGCGCTGGCAAAATGGTCACCTTTTGCGGTTCCTGATTTCTTCTCGTCCTCGATGATTGATGCGAAAGCCGCGTTTGCTGATTGAATCAGCGCTTTGTCACGGAAAAGGCCCTTTGTGACAAAGACGCCTGGGCCAGAGATCAGTACGCGGTACCATTCGTCTTGCAGCTCTGTGCGTTCTGGGTCGCTCAAGGTTGAATATTCAGGGAGGTCGTAGATCGGTATGTTCTTTTCGATGGATGCGGCGAGCGGGTAATCCTCTGGAGAGGCTCGTTGGGAGCAGGTGGTTGCAAATCGTTCCACTGCTGTCGTTTCCGATTTTGAGAAGAGGCGAGGGGAGCCCATACTGGGAGAGTGACTGCCGTTCGCTGGTCCGTTCTTGATAGCCATCTTGGAGTACTTATTTGAGGCGTTAGTGGAGAGATAATGGAACCTTATAGAGTAAGGTATGTTGTAACATTACCTCATGTTCTGCCGCTCGTGAAGGGAGAAGCGCGGGGTATTTAAGCTGGAAGGACCGTGTAGTAGGCTGGCGCTCTCCACATTCGGTAGAGAATCGAGACTTAGTTCTGACGTTGGAAGTCCGTAGTAAAGATGATCCAACCACAGCCTATGCGGAAACGCGGGTTTCTAGTCCTCTCCATCACTTCGATTCGCACACTGGCAGGAGTCCGAATAGGGCATTGTCTGACGAGGTCAAGCTGGGAATCGGGCACTCCTTTACCGGTCAGAATTGCCCGATTGAGCTCCGGATGGGTCCGCCGAGAACCGGCCCCATACGGAGATGCTCGCCGTCACAGAATCTCTCCCCCTCCAGTTGATCGCCTGGGGAAACATCTTGACTTATGAGTTGATATTCGGCGACGAACGTAGAAATCGGACTTTGTTGCATGATAATTGTCTCCGGGTGTACCTGACGTCTGGGGCCAAGGTAGGTGGGGACTTCGGAAACCAGTTTCCGAACGTCCTATGAGATCTTAGTGCGGCTCAGATTCTAGATCCTCTCCGGACTATAATTCCGACTAAGCTTTCATCATGTCATTACTCATCATAATCCAGTAGTAACGCCTTGAGAAGTGATCATAAGGATGAAGCACTTGATTTGGGGAAACCTGGTGCCGCCCGGTCCCTCGTCGAATCTAAACTCACTTGGGTGTCGCTACATTTCTGACTAAGGAGATTGACTTTAATCAACAGCACGATATCTCCTCGGACCAGATTTTGAGTTATCAGATTTCATCGCTAAGTTTGTCTGGAATCATTTCGGCACGGTACCGAGAATTTAAGGCTGCTCTACGTTGTGGCTTCACTACTAGCAAAGATCTAAGGATGAAGAAAGGCCTTTCATTGGACTGGATGCAACTTCTTCTTCGAGTAAGGCGTTCTTTTTCAGTAATTTGCTCATTAGTCTTTCTATCAGAGTACGTGCTCGAGCTCCCTTAACGCCTCAAACGTGCCAGTGGCGTTTGGGTCCCTTTGAGCACGTGCAATACGCGTACTGGGAGGCTTGATAATGGGACTCTTGACCTATGGTAGTCGGGCTTTGAGAGTAAGGGAATTTTTCCATCATGCCGTCTCGAGAAGGTTCTGGGTCATAGAGCAAGGGCTTGTCACGAACGCCTTGCCGCGATGAGAGCAAGCAATTCATCATATAGCAACCCCAGATTCAATCTCAGTTCACAAGGTGCCAATCGGAGGAGAAGCTGAACCATAACGGCTCTATGTTAGCTATTTTCTGGCAATACTTGCGCTGGGGAGCCGTCTCAGAAACCGAGATCCCCGTCATGTCGAAAATCTGAAGAGGAGTGACTCGGGGAGTCCCGCGGGTCGGCTCTTTCGGACACGCCAGTACTTCATGTCTAGAGGCAAGACACCGGCCTTCTTTCGTATACTTTGAATAAGATTAAGGTTTAGCACGGGCCAGCTGTCGTTACTCTATTGCTACGATTCATTAGAATGAGGATGGACGACTCGGTATGCCGGATTGTGCGAGCTGACTTAGTACTGCCTCAATAGCGCTTTGCCTAGGTGAGTAGCGTTACTACGTGTTTCGGTCATCGATTTAGATACACGAAGTGTAATTCTAAAGTCGTAGATCCTTGATTCATGTCCAAGTGGCCAGTAGTCTGTGGTTGCGAATGTGTGCTTGAGATGCTCTTGATCCATAATTCGGATACCTACGCAGAGCCCATGTTTGCAACGAGACTTTAATGAGAATGGTCTGTTGCTCCCAGGTACGATTGATAATCTTCGCTGCAAGCACCCAAGCATTGGAGTACATCTGACAGTCTTCGTCTATCCCAATGAAAAGCTCATCGAATAGTATCACGACCGTCCGGTGTGTTGTTGACCACATTTGGAGTGAACTTTAGCGCACATTCATTTGGTACAACATAGTCACTTTAGCGACCAGCAAGTCCCCTGTACATCTGGACCTGGCGCCTACGCGCCCCGCGGTCAGCGCTACCGGTACGAACACGGCCGAAGCAACTTACAAAGCCACATGGGCCAGGTAGCTAGCACACTGGGGTTCATGCTGTGAAAGAACGTCCTTCTGCTAGTGGGCCTCGGTGCGGCCAAAGAGTGTCCACCGCCCCGTCATCTCTCGAATTTACCCCAGCCAAACTTCATCAACCTCCACACCTTCAATACAGATTCCGGAACACATATTCCAGAGGAGCAAGGCAGTATGCCCCAATCATCGAAGTCTGACGCCAAGAGGAGGCATGTCACTACGGCATGCATTTCCTGTCGGGAAAGCAAGATCAAGGTATGCGCTGCCTTCCCCAGCCTTGTTCTCAAGTTTCCATCCTCCAGCTTCGATATCACGACGATGGCTTCAGACTAGAATCTGTGGCATCCAAGTAACAAATTTTCAATAGTGTGACGGTGCAACTCCTTCATGCTCCAACTGCAGGACTAAGCACCGAGAGTGCCGTTACCAAGCTGGAGAGGACAAGCGCAAGTTAGATTCTCTTTGCAGTCTCTTGATTTCGAGCGTTTTGGTCAAGGCTTACAAACGCTAGACTATCACTGCGCGTCGCTGTCGAATTGCTGTCGAGTAGGGTCGACCACCTTTGCCAGTTTATCAATCAGAATGGGCTACAACTCCCGCCTATGCCTTCAGAAGAGGCCAAAAGTCTGACACGGATACTAAACACTCTAGGCCTTCCGACGACCCAATTGGCTATAGAACGCAACAAAACACCACCGATTGACCCAGCTTTGTCCCTAGAGCCGCAAACATCAGCAGTCTGCGTCCCATCTAACAATACCATACTACCTCCAGATCAACTTCCCCTAGGCTTTCCACTACCTTTCGACCCGTCTTCCTTCAACTTAGGCAATGACGCGACAGTCGGGCTCGCACCACCGGTCCAAGACGGTTTGTTGAACTTAACAACGAGAGCGATTGCAGACTGGGAATGGAGCCCTTCTGAAAATGCCGATAACATCATCACAAATGGTGGTGGCATCGCCAGCGTCCAGACCCCCAGCCATCCTCTGTTGAGCACGTACTCCGGAGAGGCTGCTTTGAGCGACAATGAAGAGGACGATGCCGGCTCAGGCACAACGGAAGAGGACCTAGTCAACCAGTTATCTGATAGACTAGGGTCTCTCCAAATTGGTCCCAATGGAAAAATCTCCTATTTCGGACCAACATCTAACTTCAGCTTGATGGAACTACCTGTGGGAGCCGATACTTTGGCTGTGGATCGAACCGTGCGCAACGATGGCCAAGAACACCTCGACAACATGGGCTACGGCAAACAGGTACCGCAAGATCTCGAAGATCATCTGATCAACCTTTACTTCACATGGCAGGACCCCTTTCAGCATGTAGTCGACAGGACTCTCTACGACGAAGCGAAACATAGTTGGCACGAGCGAGAGGAAGACACACCATATTATTCCGAGGCACTTAGAAATGCAATGTTAGTTCAAATATTGCTTCAACCTCTCAACTCTTTTGTTGCTTGATGATGCTAATTCTTTTGCAGGTGTTCGTTAGGGGCTACCTTCGAAACACGATATCACCCGAGCTTTATAACCTTCCCAAAGTCTCTTCCGGATTTCTTCGCCGCAAGAGCCAAGACTCTTTTAGAGATCGAACTAGACTCGCCTTCCGTCTCTACGGTACAAGCAATGATTGTTCTTAGTAGCCATGAGATAGGCGCGAATAGGGACTCTCGCGGTTGGTTGTATAGTGGTATAGTCACCCCAGCTTATCACATGTGACATGTGTGAACTATGAGACAAGAGGAACTAACAGCTCTCGATCTAGCAATGGCGATTCGGCTCGCGTTTGATTTGGCATTACACAAGGATATGACACCGTACGTAAACAAGGGTGTTCTTAAACCCGCTGAAGCAGAGCTTCGTCGCGCTGTATTCTGGAGCGCATACACAATGGATCAGTAAGCTTCTGGCGCCGCTGCCAACATTGTCGGGGCTGTGGTCTGACTCTACAAATTTTCAAGGACGCTCGGATTTTACAGAGGTCGGCCTTTTCGTATCAGCATGGATGATATCACAGTTGGGAAACCAACAGAAGACTCATCAGATGGACGGATCGAGCAATGGCTTCCTTACGTTTCGCGCCTTAGCAACGACAACGCCCCAGTACCCATCCAGGATTACACTGAGGTCATCAGCCTATACCGCATAGAGTTGTGCGAAATCATGGCGCCTCTCGGTCACACGCTGTGAGTAAATCGCCCGAATAGCAATGTTTCTGTCTGATTTAGTGGAACTAAATGCTCTTCTGGTAGATACGGCAACTCTCGGATTCCGCGGGACATATTACAGGCCAACAACGAGAAGATTGTTTCAATATTATTTGCTTGGAAGCAGAACCTGCCACGTACGATACAAGTCGATCTTGAAGACTCAGAGGGAACATTCCTTCCTCATGTTCTTCTGTTACAGTGAGTTTAAATCCACATTGTTGATTCCTGTCGTCATGCGGCAGTCGCTCACCTTTTTGTGCCCAGTATGCAATACTATCAAAACGTGATACATGCCCATAGGCCGTGGATGTCGTCGAGCTACATTCAACCACAACCACCTCAAGGTCCCGGCTACATGCACGCGCAACAAATGTGCATCGAGTCAGCAGCCGCAGTGGCAAAGCTGATCCTGATTTACGAACGCCAATACTCCCTCAAGCGAGTTCATATCCAAGGCGTGGCCATCATCTTCTCTGCAGCCATCATACTCATCTTCGCATCTATATCCCGCCGCAGACGGAAGAGGACCACGGAGACGGCGACACACTTGAGCGTATGCTTCCGGGCTCTGGAGGAGCTTTCAGGCACTTGGGAGTGCGCCAAGCGGTCTCGGGATTTTCTTCTCATGCTGCAACGTAAGTGGGAGTTGCGCTCTCGCCGGCTGAGTCAATGTCCGTCACGTAATGCCATGCTACCGTCCGGCCTCGGCGCCCTACGGCAGAGCGAGCAGGCGTCTCGGAAACGAGCGCGTACCGACAGTCCGGCCGGGTCGAAGAGCATAGGCAGTTTTCAGAGCATATCTCCTGTTCAACAAGGGGAGCAGCGAGAATACCACGAGGGCATTGATATGGACATGAGATTGGATCTTGACTGGGTGTTTGCCGCGGGAACACAGCCCATGCCAGGCAATTGGGACCAATTGCTGAATACGGATACGCTCTATTTCAATCCAAACAGAACAGGATAACGTGTGGCTTCCCCCGTAGTCGAGGATCACATAACGAATTTAGCTTGTCATCCTGGCGTGAGCTGAGTTGGGTCTTTGCGTGATCCATGGGTGCTGGATTCGATGTCTCGCGCGACGTTGCTGGCCAAGCCACTCCTGCATGAAGTGGATATAATTGGACGCAAGGTCGTGACAGGGGCGCTTACGCCCAACATCCAGCTGAACAGGCAGAATTCCAGAGCCTCGCCAACCTCACGTCTGCACCTCAACACACTAACAGTCACTCATGCAAGATCACAATGTCACTTTCAGATGATCGGCTCTGTCGCAACTGCACCAAGCTAAATCTTCAGGCAGTCTTCGACCCGGCTCGTTTTGACGGTCTTCCGGCCATCGGCTCGGCTCAGAGTTACAAGACCAGCTGGACCAAATACATCCAGCATGTTGGAGACTGGAGACCGCTCACCCGAGAGGATAGGATCAGTCAATACCCCCCAGGCATAATCCCAAGTTGCCCGTTCTGTGATTTGGTCTTCTCCATCGGCTTCAACCTCAACCGCTATCCGATGGCCGAGAAGGAGAAGATCATGTTAGCGATCCCCGCCAATCTGCTCTACAATTTTGCTGAGAAGCCGAAGCTTGGAGATGGCGGGGAACGTCCAGACTTCAACTCCGTTCTCCTTCTCGTCATGAATCCCTCACACTACAAGACAGCATCCGCTCAGTACTTTGGCAATACCAGTGCTGGTGGCGGCTTGACAGCGTGGATCCGTTTCGCCCATCGAGAGGCGCCAGGAAGTCTGGTCTCTCTTGCATCCACTGCTATCTTGGAGCCCACTCGACCTCTTCTGGACCTTCCGATGCAAGCTAGAGTCTTGCGCGAGGAGAGAATCGACTACGGCCTCGTTCGATCGTGGATACACCTATGCGAGAATCATCACGATGCATGTCGTACCAGCCCAGACTGGCAGACTCTCCCTCACTTCAAGCTCATAGACTGCGAGACCCGTCAAATCATCAACACAGACCCAGCCACTAGGTATCGCTACGTAGCGTTGAGCTACGTTTGGGGAGTCGCGCCTCCAGACAGGTACACATACCCGTGTCTGCCGGACGACCTTCCGCCAGTCATTCAAGACGCCATGAGGGCCACCATCAAGCTCGGCTTCCGCTACATCTGGATTGACAGATACTGCATCTGGCAAGACGACGCAACTCACAAGATGAGTCAGGTGGAGAGGATGGACCAGATCTACGGCGACGCAGAACTCAGCATCATCGCCATCGGCGCCAAAGACCCGAGCTACGGGCTGCCGGGCTTGTCTCTCGGCCGAACGCAACACGTTCCAATCACCAAAACAATCGGCGAGCAAGGAATCGTGACAAATTTCAGCCACCAGTGGCAACTAGACCAGATCTCCCGATCAAAGTGGTCCACGCGGGGGTGGACGTTCCAAGAGACGTGTCTGTCGAGGAGAAGACTCTACTTTTCCAACTATGAGGTCTCGTTTGAGTGCCACGATATGATGTGCTTTGAACACCTCACGCGTCCTCTTGCTTTGCAGGGGAATCTGGAGCACCACGAGAGGCCCGAGTGGACTCTCCTCAATACCCCAGACGGTATCTGGGCTATACTTCAAAAGTACTGCGATCGCCAGCTGACATACTCAAGCGACAGACTCGCTGCTGTATCTGGAGTGTTGAAGAAGTGGTCACGAGTCAATCCAGGATGCTTTTCGTACTGGGGCATCCCGATAGTCGCCTCCGGCTGGCTGGTAGTAGACGCCACTGCTTCGAGACGCGCCTTTCTCGCTGGACTCCAATGGGAGATTCGGCCTGAAGGAAAGAACTATGCCAGGTTGGCAGGTTTTCCCAGCTGGTCGTGGGTATCCCAGAATGGGAAGACGTTGTTTGGTCACTACGGCTACTTCCATCTGAGGCCTCCCAAGTTAGTGGAACTTACAGAAAACTTCGACTCAGAGGTTTGGGTGGAAACGCCTCAGGGCAACATGGTTGAATGGGCCGACTTCTTTGAGACTAGTGGTCTTGATTCGTCAATCATGCAATGTACCAGGTATCTTCACATCGAATGCTGGTCATTTCAGACCGGGCCCCTCTGCTATCGGAAGATCAAACGGCGTTCAGGCACCTCGCACGACGACATGTTCTATCTCCCAACAACACGCAAACCCTCTGATGGAAAAGGAGAGTTTGTTATCAAGTTCACCCCAGACTTCGGATACGAAGATACCTTCCTCGACCGAAAACTTACGGCAATATGCTTCTCGCCTCTGGAGCACGCAACGTGCGCTATAGTTCTTGAGTCTGTCCCTGGCCTCACGGTGAGAATAGGGTTACTAGCATTTACGAGGATCGAAGATTTGGGTTCACACGAATCGCAAAGTGCTGAGAATCTGCCTTTTTCTAGCCTTCCATTCGTTCCGCAGAGGCGTCGTTTCCGGTTGGGATAAGTATAGGGTAGGAAGACTCTTTCTTCTCAAATCTGTACTCTCGTCACTAGTAGCTTTCGACAGTTTATAGCTTCGAAGGAGACCTCTGTTTTGATCAACGAGATATGTCTGCTAGCCGAGAGAGACCTATCTGCTAAGCATCTTGGCATTCTCAAAGTGCCGTTGAAATACACAGTTGTGTAGTCAATTTACTTCTGCTAAATTTTTTGATGAGGTTCGAATCCTAACTACTCTTCATTATACGTTGTTGGTCCCTCCCAAGCGTGTGGAAGCTCTCCTTAGAGGCATGTCAACCTCATGAACTCCCGAACGCATCCTTGGAGCCCGTTTGTTTATGCACATCCACCTGAAGACACTCCAGAGCCTCCACGTATGCAGACTGGGCCCCCATCCTCGCCTCCATTTCCTTCGCGGTGGAAGCGGTCATGCTCAAGACAGCCTGTAAGCGGGCCTTTGCAGTGAAGCGAACGAGATTGTCCCAGATCAAGCTGAGGGGGTGATGTTCGCCAAATATGGCCTGGTGCATCCTACACACAAAGACAAGGAGCGACTCCGCGAGGTTGGGTTCCAGGTCGAAGATGTCGTGGAGTGTTAGTAAAAGCAACTCGGGGTCTTGTTCCCTTATAAGATGCTTCAGAAAATCAAGTTGCTTGTTGAGAAGGCAGAAGGCAGCAGTTATTTCCTTGCTGCTCAGCAGTACGTGGATGCTAGCCATGTCATTGTGCCACTTCCGGACCCTTTGCCTTGCTGGTTTCCCGTTTGGTCCGTAGAGAATACGCCCGTCGATGACTACCAACCCTGTTTCAAATGCTCCATCAAGGTAGGAATGTATAAGCCTTATGGAGTTGTCAAGCAGGCGCAGATCTGAATGCGGTTCTATCCGACGAGGAATTTCGTTTTTGAGTAAGGTCGGCGAGGGTGTAGAGCATGTGATGTCTAAACTCGTATCTAGATATCTTGCAATATCGACGCTAGACGTATCTTGTAGGTCGGGTCTATGTTTCAGATACTGCATCACCCGTTCCCAGTTGACTTCTTGGCCTCGGAGAAAGAATTGCGAGCGCTTCCCTGCAGCTTCGCGGTCCTCCTTTTGTCGAAGCATCACCATTACTTCGGCTTCTTTAAGTTTCTTGTCTAGCTTCCACGTACTCAGTCTTGACTTGTACATCTTAGTTCTGGACGAGGTTCAGTCAGAAAGCTATAGCTGTGATTTGATGTTGACTTACGTTGCATGGAAACGATAGTGGGATTCCATGATCTCGCTAACTTGTCTCAGGGATCTATTCTCATCTCGATAGAGCTTGGTAATAGTAGGCTGCATACGGTGCCAATCCTTTTCAGTTGCATATGTCTTGCCCGCGCGGACACTTTGGGACTTCGAGAGGGTGCTCATAGTGCGGGCTATGGTCTGAGATACGGATAGTAGGCGAGCTCCGGACGAAGAAAACAAGATTCCAAGCAGTATGAAGAGATGAGAGTGATTACAAGGCGTATTTAAGTCTCTTGAAAGTTCCCCAATCGAGGATATAGCGTCTAGTCTCAACGCGTGTGTGAGCAAGATTTCATGTCAGCCTTGTCGAGTTAGGTAAGTTCACTAGCATGCAAGATCGAATGGGCTTGCGGGAAGAGGCCAATTTTGAGATGTTGACTTCTCAAGTTGGCAGCAGGATGGTTGCACAGGCTGGAATTTCTTCGGCCGTAAGCCGGGTGGGCATGCACGGTATGTTTAAGACATATCGTTGGAAAGAAATGGACATGATCGCGCCCTGCTGCGCCGAGTTGGGGGCACAGCATTTGGAGGCTGTGTGGACCTCGCGCCTCTCCGAATCCGAAGACCGCAAATCCCCTTAACAATAATGAACTTGGCTCTCGATTCCCTTCTATAGCTACGCGATCCATGCAGTGTCTGTGATCTACGTAAAGTGGTGTTCGCTTTGACGGCGGTCAGAATGAGATGATCGAGATCGCAGTCTGTACATTGAATCACCCGCATTACCAGCAAAGACAAGGTATCACACCGGGACATAGTCAGTTCGCATCATTGTACTTCTCGTAACATTGAACTCTTGGCTAGTTACTCGAGTGCCTTACTTGGTACTCGACTCTCGATGTACCCCTAAATTATCATGAACTCCCCAACTCCAATCAACGCCTCAAACCCCCAAAGATCAGAAGTATGCATGAGGCATATTTCCCGACTCGTCATAATCCCCAAACGAATTATCCGGACCAGGCCAGCTTTGGTAAAGCTCAAAGAGATCAGCAAAGGTCATCCCCGCCCCTCCCCGTCGAGCACGCGCCGCTTCCCCAAACGCGGGACCGTACCCGTACCATCCACCTCCGTAGTGACCTGGCGGGGGTCCATAGCTCGGCCGGAAGGCACCGCCGTTCCTACCGGGTCCAGAAGTTGCTGGTTCGGGGCCGGGATTGCCTTCTCCCCCACCACCACCTTGACCGCCAGGCCCATCGGTACGGCCCTGGTCAGGTTCAGGTCCAGAGCCGGAGCCGGGGCCGGGACGAGGATCGAACGAACCAGCACCGCCTCCACCGAAACTTCCAAAGATATCCCCGAACAAATCCTCAAACCGAATCTCCTCAGTCGGCCCAAAGTCATCGTCACCCATCTCCCCAAACCCATCACCAGGGCCCAAACCAAATCCGCCGCCTCTAGCATCAGCCTGCTGCTGTCTCCGCCGCCAGTGCTCTCTCTGCAGCGCTTCAAGGAACGCCCTCGCAGCAGCAGAAGCCTCTCTCACACGATCATTATCGTGTCCAGAGCCGTTCGCTTGGCTGAAGCCACCAAAAGCGGGATACCGCGGAGGCTGATGCTGCTGCTGTTGATCGTGTTGATGCTGCTGCTCACCTTCCTCTTCTGGTTGCCATTGTGGATCGTGCCTGTGTCGCTGTTGATTCTGTTCTCGTTCTTGCTGTTGCTCTTGCCGCCGCCGCTGCTCGTTACGCAGATTCTCCTCGTAAAAGCGACCCGTACCGTAGTAGATCCCTCCGGGTAGGCCACCGACGGGTATATCTCCATGCCCATAGCCACGCTGCTGACGGCCTCCTCCCCCTCCAGAGCCAGGGCCTTGCTGGCCGCGAGGTGTGTTCCGACCGGAGCTGGCTTCGGAGTATCCGTCGAATACGTAGGCCATTGTATCTTGATCGCTCTGGGCCTAGACCATATGAAACTTCTGAGGATTCAAGAGCTTCTTTTCTGTTGACTGATGCTGTTGGTTGTTGTTCCTGTTGTCCGGTGTGTAAGTGGAATTCCGAGGTAGGTGATATGGCAAAGTACCAAGCCTATTTATATGTTTGTCAAAGGTTGCACGAATTACTGATTCACAGTCTCGGCTTGTTTGAGCATAGTGGTGATGTGGAAGCGTGTTTGATCGTTGATTGCCAAAGGCAAGCAGCTGTGATTCAGGAACTAAAGACACACGTCACGCGAATATGGAAGCTTTCAACTCGGGGTATGAACTAGCATTTGTTACAAGCGCAGTAATTTGCGCCAAACGTCTATGTACTGGCTCCGATATCGTAGCGCATTGCCGCGATGGAAAATAATACGGGCTCTCGTCCCCTGCCTCAAGGGAGAGAACCGGCGTTTTATGTCTGTTTACCTGCTTTGATAGGTAAAGCCGGGTATAATAGAAAACATACATTACAGGTATCCAGGATCCGTTTAAACGTATGATGGCTCCTAAACAACGCCACGCAGAAAACAATCAAAGAAATGGGTAATTATGTCGCGGTAGTGCTTGTTTCGTTGCGCAAGGAGACGGGTCCTTGAAACCCTGTCGTTGGTCTGACGTTCTGCATTTCCATACCCTGAATGTCGACCTTCTGATCCCGGAGAGCACCGAGGCGTTGATCACCGCCAATATACCTCTTCTTGAATTGGTAGTAGGTAGGAGGCCTCGGTCGGCAGAGGACGACGATCCAGTTCTTGAGCATGCTGCCCTGAGTGAAGGCTCGGAACCGCTCTGCCTTGATGAACTTGTGAGAGTTGATGTACTCTCTCGTTGTTTCGCCTCGAGCCATGAGGAAGATGTGGTAGCCCATGAGGGCAGCAGGGTATAAGAAGGCAATAAAGCCGTAGATGACCATAGCGAAGGGAACGCGGAAGTCGTCGATGGATTTACCAAAGGAAATATCGGATCGGTGCATGTGTACGAGAATTTGGCCTAGAGAGGCGCCAAGGAGGTAGAGAGAGAGGAAAGTTGCCGAGGAGACGAAAGCAAAGAAATATCGGTAATTGCGTTTTCCGACACAGTTGTTGAGCCAAACGCAGTGGTGATCGTGGGTCTCGATGCAGTTGTCGCACAGTCGGCAGTGATGAGCCCGAGGAGGCCGCCAAATGTTACATGTTCTACAATGTTTTACTGGAACTTCCATGGCGGCCGTGGCTGACTCTGCTGACTTGATTAGCGTCCAGTCGTTGGTCGGAGGCCCGAGCCGGAGAGGATCCTCTGTCGAATCAGCCGGTGGAAAGGCATGAAGGTTTCGCGGCAAAATCTATGCGCGATTAGCTATATTTTTACCGAAGTAAGGGTGTCACAACTTACGCCTGGGTCCGACAGGGATGCGTGGAGGAACGAGGAAATGCAAATGTAGAAGACGTATCCGAAAGTGATTGGGATGGCAGGACTGATGTTATGCCATATCCAAGGGGCTGAGAAGACGAAGAATAGGACGGCGGGAATAATGATGAACAGCCCAGTGGCTACATTGACTGGCCGATGCTTGGTGTTCTGGAATCGCCCTCCCAAGCAGAAGACAGTATTGCCTTCGAAGTACTGGAAAACATAGCCAAGGTTTGTCTTGGACTTCTTCAAGTTGTTCTTGTCGGCGGGTCTCGAAGAGTCTACGGGGTTGAGCTGCGGCGTGGATGCGGTCGATGAAAGCTTTTCGCCGCCAGGTAGAGTCCGGTTAGACTTGTTCTGGTCACTTCTGCCTGGCAGCAGGAAACTTGAGCGGAAAGATCGCGGCGATTTGATAGGGCTAGGTTGATTGC